GAGAGAGAGAGAGAGAGAGAGAGAGAGAGAGAGAGAGAGAGAGAGAAATGTCGATTGGTTGCCTCCCGTACACACCCCGACTGGGGATTGAACCTGAAACCTAGGTATGTGCCCTGACTGGAATTGAGCCTGCAACCTCTTTGATGTACAGACAATGCTCTAACCAACTGAGCCACTCAGCCAGGGTGGAACACTATTTTAAGTAGATAGGACAAAGGCTTTCTTTCTTCATTTGCATTATTATGCATTTATGTACAGATTTTTACCTATCAGTATGCAATTTATAAATAACACCAAAATAGATTTTGGATCCTTTGGCTATTCCTTAACATACGAAAGGGAAATGAACAAACATATTGCCTACTCTGTGATTTCAGTATTAAAAACAAAGGCAAAATATCTTAAATAATTCTCATTTTTATCTAATCTAGCTCAAAATGAGGATTATGTTTCCCAATTTGGTTAAATGAAGAAATAAACAGAAGGTTTTGGTAACCATTATTTTATGTCTTTTTCTAGTTATGGTTAGAAAACAAATTCCTAAAATCCTAGAATTCTAGAACTGGACGGGAGAAAAGAAAAGGTGAATTGAATTACTTTACATTGCAAATGCAGAATGCACTCAGAGGTTAAGTGACACACACAAGATAATACTCTTAGCTGAGGTAACTAGGATAAAATTCAGATCATGCAGATATGAAGTCACTGCAACTGAATTAACCACTCAATTGATAGTCTATAAAAATATACGTTACTTTTCAGAGGTCTTACCAAAAGAGCAGGGTCAATGTCCGGTAGTACACCAGGTGGAGGTCTACAGAGAAGCAAGGACACCTCTGGAGATGTTCCTCTGAGGGCGGATATAACTTCCTGGGGAGACCATTAATGACAAATGAAGTTATAGTTAAACCACCATGCCAAATCATCCTGAAAGGTCAATCTATCTCACCATTGAAAATGCCACACTTCACATATTGGGGGCTCACCTGCTGAGACAGTCCTTTCAAAGAGGCTCCATTCACTTTCAAGATCACATCTCCCACATCAATTTTTCCACTTTCTGCTGCTGGCTGTCCAGGAAAAAGCTTCTTAACCCTTACTATGCTGGTATTCATTTGCTCAGGTATAAGATTATCTTCTCGAGAAAAACTAAATCCTAGGCCTGAGCTATTTTTAAACAATTTTACCTCAAATGTATTCTCTGCAGAAAAAAAGATATTAAAAAATTTAAATATTCTTAACATGTATACATATGAACATACAAACTTAAATACTTTTAGGCACATTTTTTTAAAAGCCCATTTTCCCACCATATTTACAGCTTTATATACACTCACTGCCCTCTTAGTCTATAATCAAATCCTACTTCACACTCTCTATCAATAAGAAAACTAAACCTAATCAACTAACCTGTATGAACCAATTGCTTGAACAGAAAAGAGGATTTTGAAATCAAGGTTATGAAAATGAAATTATGCTTTAATCCCATGTGTTTTAAAAGACTGTAGAATAACAGAAAAAGAAGGAAAAAATCCAAGAGAGGAGGAGAATAAGAGGAAGTCAGGTATGCAATGGGGGAGAAATGGCAAGAGCACAACGAACGTTAGAGGAGGCATGGGGAAGGTGGCATTCTGAGGTTTGGTACAGTGTAACATAATCCAATAAACTGTAATGACATTATGAGAAAATCCTCACCACCAACAACAAAAAACTTAAAAACAATTACCAGAAAAGAATTTAAAAAAATATATTTAAATGAAGAATGACGGAAGAAATGAAGAATATAGGGCAGTGAGATCAACTGTGTATAGTAATTTTACTTTCATAATCAGGAAAAATATAGGCCAAGTTATTTTTTTCTCCTTATCTTTGGGACTAATTTAGAGTTGATAACATTTGTGTAATCAAATAAGAATTTAAAGTAAGAGACAAACAATGACTATATACCACCACTATCATTTACAAAGTAAAGGACATTTATGCCCCTTAAAAGGATGATAAGTGGAACCTGAGAAGAAAGGGGGCTCCTGTATTATAAACACATGTAGCCTTAGGAAAAGTTCACTACGATATCAGTCTTAATTTTCTTATTTTACTACCTATTAGTGGTATGTCCAAGGGCTGTCAAAGTTTGTAAGAAAGAGCAGTATCTGGGATCTATTAGGTAAATTTCTACTCAGGGTTAGCTTGAAAAGTCCATAAAATTAAATGCAAATATAGAAAATGTAAGAGTCAAGGTTTCATATGCATTTAAAGTCATTTTCAGCAATTATTTTATATTTTTTTCCTCTTACAAATATGATTTTGAATTTTATAACTACTTAAGGCACTATTATATGACCATAATCTGTTTCATACATGACTTCATTATCCAAAGTCTTTTGGACTCTAAAAGCTGCAAATACAGTGGTGCCTCGGTTTTTGAATGTCTCTGCTGACGAACATTTCGGGTTTGGAACGCCGTAAGCCCGGAAGGAAATGCTTCTGTTTACGAACACGTCTCGGGAGTTGAACATGCCCCATGGCTTCCACTGAGGGCAAGGTCCTGAGGCCTAGCTGTCGGCTGTGGATCCCTCACTTTTCAAACGTTTCAGAACTTGAACAGTCTCCCAGAACAGATTACATTAAAAAACCCAGGTACCACTGTATGCCCTTTTCAAAATTTAGTGTATTGATGCACCAGATTATTTACACTTGACAAGAATAATTAAAGAGACTCAGGCATGAATTGTGGTCCAACATGCAAAACTCAAATAGTGAATAAGGCAGGAATAAGTGAAAGCTGAGGCGGAAGTGCCCCAAGGCCTGACCTTCAGTGACAAAGCTGTAGTCTTTGACGGGAACCTTTTTCTTCACCACTTTTTCTGGAACCTGACCTTGGCCATCCGCATCTGGAAGGGTGCACTGCGGGGTTACCGGAGCATGTTCTTTGGATGCTGGAGACTGTCCCTTTTCTAACAACAGGTGAACCAACTGAAGAAATGAAAAAGTATTTTATTAACTAAAAAAAATTATAAGAAAGTAGATACATTTTCAGGACTTTATATAATTGATGGTACAAAATCATTTCAAGTTAGATACCTGGTCTACCAAAATATACGCAGAGAGAAAAATAAAGAGAGGGAGAAAAGCAAGGGATTGAAAATTTCAAAATCAAGTTTTTAAAATTTTCTGTATAAAAAGATGATTAAAGAGAAAAATATTCTATTATAAAAATAACAACATGCCCTGGCCGGGTGGCTCAGTTGGAGCATCGTCCTGTACATCAAAAGGCTGTGGGACTGATTCCTGGCTAGGGTACATAACTAGGCTGTGGGTTCGATCCCCAGGTGGGTGCATGTGAGAGGCAACCCATCGATGTTTCTCTCACATCGATGTTTCTCTCTCTCCCCCCTCTTCCTCTCTCTCTGAATATCGATAAAAACATATCCTTGGGTGAGGATTAAAAAAAACCACACAAACATGTTATAAAAAATTTGGCTATTAGAATAAAATCACCACTGTACAATAATATAAAGGCATTGTAAATAATTTGGTAAACTCCTTGACTCAAAATGTATTTGAGCGAAATGAATTTATCCTTTATTTTTATTATTATTATTTTTTAATCCTCATTTGAGGATATTTTTTCCATCACTTTTCAGAGAGAGTGGAAAGGGGGGGAGAGGGAGGG